ACAGGAGGAGTTTGAGGTAAAAGTGAGAGGACGACTTGGACCAGGAAAGGAGGACATGAAAGCGATCAGGATTCTTAACAGGATAGTGGAATGGACTGAGGAAGGGTTGAGATATGAGGCAGATCAAAGGCACAGAGCTTGAGCTTGAAGGAGTAAAAGTGAGGACTGAGGTACCAGGTGAGCGCATTCCAGTTGAAGAGGGAGATGAGGTAGAACTTTCGCCCAACATGACTAAGAGATATCAGGCATTGACGGCCAGAGCGAATTATTTAGCTCAAGACAGATCGGACATACAGTATTCAGTGAAGGAACTTGCTAGAACCATGTCAAAGCCAACCATGGGCTCTTGGAAAGGCCTAGTCAAGCTAGGAAAGCATTTGAAGTACCACAGCAGAAGCAGTTATGTGTATCAGTATCAAGAACAGCCCCGAGAGTTGACGATTTGGACTGACACGGATTACGCAGGATGTAAGCGAACTAGGAAGTCTACGAGTGGAGGAGTAGTGATGTGGGGTAAACACCTTATAAAATCGTGGAGCACAACTCAAAGTGTGATTGCGTTATCGTCAGGGGAAGCAGAATATTATGGACTCGTAAAAGGAGGTTCAGTTGGTCTAGGACTTCAGGCCGTGTTGAGAGATTTTAACTTGGAAGTTGAGATCACCCTGAAGAGTGATGCCACGGCTGCAATTGCCATTGCGAGCAGACGAGGTCTAGGGAACGTGAGACACATTGAAGTATGTCAACTGTGGTTGCAGCAGAAGGTAAAGGAGGGGGTACTTCGAATTGTGAAAGTAGGGACACATGAGAACACAGCAGATGCATTAACCAAGTATGTCAGTCGTGAGAGCATGAGCACACACCTACGAAACACGAATCAATGTGCACTAACAGGTCGGCATAATCTTGCGCCGGCTACCGAATGTTGACATTCGCAGCTCATTTCTGTCAAGCAAGCCGTCTCGATTAAAGCCTCCTCCATCCATTACCTCTTACTCTTGAGCGTGAACGAAGGCATGGCGGCTCACCAGGTCAACGTCACGATCAACGGCTCCGTGGTTGACCAGAGCCCGCCTGGGGATGGACCGGTTACGCGTGAGAACCTCAATCGCCGTGTTGACGACATCGCCAACGTTGCCCATGCGTTTACCGTGACCCTCACCAACATGGCCATTAACTTTCACGGGGCCCATGACAAACATGTTGACGAGGCGCAGAGGGCCGCCGATGACATGGCGCGGAGGATCGAGGACTTAACGCGGCAGAACGCTGCGTTGCTCCACGCCAGTGACGACGTCAACGAAAACCTCAAGAGGGCGCAGGACGAGGTTAACGCTCTGGTGGCGACGATTACAGAGCTGAACATCAAGAATCGCGACTCGGAGGTTAACACGGCGGAGAATGCGACCAAGTACAGGCGCATCAACGAGAACATTGGTTACCTCTTGAACACCGCCAGACGTCTTACCGAGAACATCACGCCTCTGCAGGACTTCGAGGGCAAACGGGATGCGGCACTACGCATGTTAGTGGGAGTTACCGAGAGGCTTGAGGGTTTACAGAGGTTCTTGAATGACCCGATCAGCTCCTCGGTTACCATCATCCCGCAGGTGCCTCCGCCGTTACCTGAGCTGCCTCCAACGGCAGCACTCGCCAAGGCGCCACCCGTTGCCGTCACCGCGGCAGCCGAGTCCATGGCCTCAGGCGCGCCCCCAGTGATGCAGGTTAACGTGGCTCCATCAGGGAAAGCTCCCCCGGCTCAGGACCTTACCGGCGCAACCACCAAAGCCGGAGGGATCCGACGGTCCATGTCGCCGAACAAGATCCCGCAGTCAACGGAGCCACAACCTGTTTACAAGAAAGCGCCAAAGGCCATGCATGAGCGTAAACGGGAGTTGGAAGAGTTACTGCAGATCGGCATGAAGATGGATGAAGATCGTGCGAAGAGCAGTCAACGTGACGAAGCACCAAAAGGTCCTACCCCTGTTGTGAACGCGAGGCCGGCCAAGCCACCTCCTCCGGGGCTCGGCGAGTCAAGAGCATCGAGCAGCGTTAGCGGCATGAAGCCCCCGCCTCCGGAGCCCAAGAGGTCACCGGTCCAGCGCATCCCGCCACCGCAGCCTCAAGTCGTTAACCGCACGAATGACCAGCTTGCGGGATACTCTCGGAACGTCGCCAGGGCCGTGTACCGCCCGCTGTACCACGTCAACGGTCACATGCCCATGCTGAACGACAGGAGCGACGACTACGACGTTAACTACAAGGTGGAACCTGACCCCAGGGAAGTGGTCGCATTAACGATGAAGACGCGCGACAACTGGCGCAGGTTTGAGGGCAACTTCGTCGGGCATGTGGCGAAGACGGGTTTAACGACCCCTGGCGGTCGGTCTATTCAGGGCAACACGGGGCGGGAGCTTAACGATTACGATGAAGTATTCGTTGACATCTACGGCCAACACGCTTACGGTTTCATCGGCTATGCCGTGTTGAAGGGCCCAAGCAGCTGGAGATCTCAGTTGACGGACAAAGAGTTGACCAAGCATGATGAATGGGTTGACGCAGTTGGGCACGTACAGCCCCTGTTTGACGACGAGTACGTGCCACCACTCCACGTTGACGATATTCACCCATCGTGGTTTGAGCTCCACAGTTGCCCGGACACGCAGGTGTACGTCAACAAGGTGCCGGAGATGAACGAGAAGCAGCTTAACGGTCTCCTCTTAACGTGGGCAGGGATGCTGCCCCACGGCAACCCCACCGTGATCTCTGTTAAGCACCTGGTGGAAGACACCCGCGGGCCGCACGGTTACATCTCGACTGGAGTTACCGTAATTCGGTTTGCGACGCCTGACCTTGCCAAGCTCTACTGCCGTTACATGAACGGGTTCCAGGTGCATTACCGCAACTACTTCATCGAGGACCTCGAGGTCAGGAGAACCGAGGAGTTAAAGGGCAGCATCAACAGGCCTCCAGTCTACTGGCACCAGACCATCTTAGATGTCGCTCTTAACGATCAGGGACCCATGAGGGCACTTTACCGTGACAATTGGCCTGCTGATCATATCACCGAGCGTAAAAGCGATCATCGTGAGAAGCTTTGCTGGTTTGGCTGGTTACCGTGCGACGACTTCCCCAACTGGCTTACCGATCCGACCTGGACTGTGAACCCGTTTACCGGCGCTGCGGTCGAGGAGCACCTCCGTAACAATCCAGGCGGTGGGCCTCTGTTGAAGGCCCCCCACGCCAGTTACTGGAGGGCCATCGGCACCTACCACAACATTGTTGACGGGTCCATCAAGAGCTTTGACGAGGGGTGCTGGCTCGACGACGAGGAGCGCATTAACGCGTACCTGGACACCGACTATTACAGCCCGATGCAGGCCCTTAACAGGGTGTCGTCCTACACAGCGGCCAGTGTGGGGCATCGCGGGCTACCGAGGTCGAGGGGCGCACGGGCCCCGTCGGTGAGGCGCCCGCGCCGCTCGTAAAAGGTGGCAGGTGACCAGCATGCTGTAGTTTACGCTCTCCCTCATCTCCCCTCTAACTCGGCTTAACAATCGTGTGGCGGTAGCTTGTTGAGCTGAGCCTGCGTGCATGTGCATCTTTTGTAGTTACCGCAGGTATTGGCGAATAAACAGCGAAAGCAATCAAAATCATCCAAATGCTAGCCTGCCGTGTAAACTTTAGATGCTCCGTTTAAACTTGTGACTGCAAGAGCGTTTACTCGAGCTCATGTTACATGTGTGAGATACGTGGTGCTCGTAAACGCTGTCACGAGACCTTTCGAATTCAACGATATGACGATTTGCGTGCAGCATGTTGCGTAGTTTAACTTGTTTTTATGTTTGAAGACACCTCCCCGTCAGCCCGTACGGACTAGCGTCCGAGGGGGGGTGTTAACATGCAAGCGTTCAGGTGACTGGGGAGGAATAGTGACCCTGTTACCTTTGGCTCAAGTGTTTAACGGCTGAAACCACCGAGACTCGCTTCGCCGTGCGGGAGTATAAAGGTGACCGACCATCATCACTGTTACTGGGCTCCCGCGCAGAACCCTCCTCGGGGTTTTGCAGGAGGAGGAGGAGGAGGAGGAGGAGGAGGCGGAGGCGGAGGAGGCGGAGGAGGCGGCGGCGGCGGCGGGAAGAAGAACGAGGGGGAGCGGGAGGGGAGGAGGAGGGAGGAGGAGGAGGGAGGAGGAGGAGGAGGAGGAGGGAGGAGGAGGAGGAGGAGGAGCGGGAGGAGGAGGAGGAGGAGGAGGAGCAGGAGCAGGAGGGCGAGCGGGAGGGGGAGGAGGAGGAGGAGGAGGAGGAGGAGGAGGAAGGGAGTAGGAGGAGGAGGAGGATGAGGAGGTGGAGGAGGAGGAGGAGGAAAGGTGGAGGAGGAGGACGAGGAGGAGGAGGCGGCGGCGGCGGCGGCGTTTCAGGGGGAGGAGGAGGAGGAGGAGGAGGAGGAGGAGGAGGAGGGGAGGAGGAGGAGGAGGAGGAGGAGGAGGAGCGGGAGGAGGAGGAGGAGGAGGAGGAGGAAGAGGAGAATGAGGAAAGGAGGAGGGGGAGCGGGAGGAGGAGGAGGAGGAGGAGGAGGAGGAGGAGGAGGAGGAGGAAGGAGGAGGATGGAGGAGGAGGAGGATGAAGAGAAGGAGGAGGAGGAGGAGGAGGAGGAGGAGGAGGAGGAGGAGGCCGGGACTGGGACCGAGAGCCTGGACCGGGGTCCAGAGTCGGGGCCAGGCCTGGGGCCAGGGTCGGGACTGGGACCGAAGCCGAAGATTGGGAGGAACATTCAAAAATAGTTTCAAAAGTAGTCGGGGGACGATTTTGATGGTATTTTGGGGCATTGCTTGAGCATTTTTGGTGTATTTTTGATTGTTCGTCCAGAGTCCGCCTGTAGGGGGACATGCCCGACCAAAGAGTAGACCTGCGCTCGGCCCGCTGGCCTCCCGCCTGCCCCCTGAGACGAGGCGATGTAGAACGCATTTCTGCGTCGGTCGCCTCGAGGGCGCCCCCGAGGTCCAGCTCACCGGAGCTGAACGGGCAGATGGCGCAGGTCCGGGGCGTCGAGCGCGCCTCATCCAGGCGCGGGGCTCCGCCGGGGGGGCCGGCCCCGCCTGGAAGCCTGGACTGCAGCGGGAGGGGAGGGGAGGGGAGCAGGCCCAGATCTCCGGCGATCTGATTTTGTTCAGTCCTCGCTTGTTTGCCCTTGACTTCGGCCTCCGGGGCCCCGTATCGGGCCTCAGAGCCTTCAAAAATAATTCCAGGGCACAACTATTGGCCCCACGGAGAGAGACGGGACTTCTGGGGCCGCACAATGAAAACAAATAAATGAATACTAAAAAAGAACATCGGCGAATGTCCGCCGGGGAGGGGCATCGAGGAAGGCGAACAGGTGAGGTCTTGAGAGGCGTTGGGCGTTTCTCTCTGGTGGCAGGCCTCGGGCATCTGGGGGCCTCGCGGAGGAGGGGGAGGACGATCGGCAAAAATTGCAGGGGGGGGCTGGCTCAGGGGGGGCGATCAGCAAAAACTTTCAGGGGAGGACGATCTGCAAAAACTGCAGGGGGGGACGATCAGCAGAAACTTGAGGGGAGGACGATTAGCAAAATCTTCACGGACGCATGCAGGTCCCCGTCTGAAATTGCCCTTCGGGGAGGGGAGGGAGGGGAGGGAGGGAGGGGCACTGAGGAGTGGAGGAGGACTAAGTTGAGGTCTCGGGAGGCTCGAGGCTTGAGGCATCCGGACACGTTCGCGGAGAGAGGGGGAGGACGATGAGGAGGACGACGATTGGGGGTCTTATCCGCCCCCCAGCAGAGGCCATGTCGATCCGATCGATCCAATTCGGCATTGATTTCGCCCGGCTCGATCCGATTCAATTTAGGCCTTCGGGATCCGATGCGGGCCGACGCTTGCATGGCGCTGCTGTGCATCCTGGCGCGGCCGATCCAAGTCGATCTCGACTCCGTGCCGATGCAGCCGATTCGATACGACTTCCAGATTCGATTCTGGGCCCAAAACCTGCGGCGCGCCCTGTCGGCGTCCATCTGCGTGCCCTCCACCACTGCTCCTCTACTCCGCGCGCGGCGTTCCCCTTTTCCTGATATTAGGCTTCTGACTCGATCTGGCCTTCAGGTACGTTGTCAGCGAGCGAGCGAGCGTGGAGGAGCATAGCGGCGCATAGGGAGGCTTCCGCTGACTTCCCGAAATTTTGAAGTTTCCAGACATAATCGGGTTGTTCCTGCGGGTTCTTGCTGTTTTCGCGGGGTCTCCGAGGTTCGAGAAGGGACGAGGAAGGAAGGGAGGAGGGAGGATGGCCACGAATATGGGGAGGAGCAGGAGCAGGCCGAGAGAAAGGGGAAAAGAGGGTGAGAGGAGGGGGTGGAGGACAAGCTGTGGACATCATGGATGAAGAAGGGAGGGGTCGCCTGTGCTAGAGGGAATTTGGGCAAGAGGTGCCATAGTTGCCTTCGTGCTGACATAGGTGTTTGCATCCTTGGTGCCCTTCGGAGGAGTTGGAGGAGTAGCAGCAGCGGGAGGTGCAGAAGGAGGACTGGGTTGGGGAGGAAGGGGCGCCTGGGCCAGGGTGTGAAGAGTGCACTCCCCTGCCCCTCTGCCGCCCGTGCCACCGTGTACGCATGTTGTACATGCTTGTCATGTTTGTGGCATGCACGCTTCCCGCCGCTGTTTTGGCCCTAGTCCTAGGGCCCTGGGACTGCACCCGCAGTTGGACTGCCGCGCGGTCCGAGCTAAAAGAACTGCACTGACATTGGTAGCGGAGCTTGTAAGCTCCAGCGGACGCACTGCGTGCTCTGCTTCGGTGGCTGTGACCACCCGCGCGGGCCGCCATGGCTGCCAGCCACGACGGCTCAGATGCGGAGGCTGCGTCCTCCGTCGGCGCAGGCCCCCCAGACCTGCACGCGGTCCTGCGCGTGATGGCTGAGACCCAGAGGGAGCTCTTGGCCTTGCATCGGGATCGCGGCGGCGACAGCGGTCCCAGACGCACACGTCTACTGCTGTCGCAGGTGAAGCTCCCGGAGTTCGACGGTGCCGTCGGTACGAGTACCAAGAAGTACCGGGAGTGGCGCAAGGCAGTTGAGGTCATCCGCAATCTCAACCAGCTTTCTGACGTGGAGCTGGGCCTGATCATCTACGGCCAGGTGACAGGTCGGGCCAAGAAGCTCGTCGAGGTGCTTGACGCGTCGGACCTTCGACGCGAGGACACGCTCGAGACTATCTTCGCTATCTACGATGACGCCTTCGAGAAGATGGACCACGAGCGCCTGGACCAGGTGCATCAGGAGTGGGAGCGAGCACACCGTCGAGCAGGGCAGCCCATCATGGATTGGACGACGTACCTTCGGAAGAAGCGCATGGAGTTGCAGCTCGAGGACCCCACGTCAGCGATCAGCGATCGCGCGCTGGCGAGCAAGATGCTCCGTGGCGCTGGGCTGTCGCAAAAGGAGCAAGCGCAGGTGCTCTTCAATTGCGGCGGCATCTACGACTCGAAGCGGATGGAGGTCGTGCTGAAGGCAGCCTACTCGAAGGTGCACGACACCGAGAAGCGCTCGGTGCTCCCTCGCCGCTCGCCGTTTGTGGCGGCGCAGCGTGATCACGGGCGCTCCTCCGGGAGCTCGGGCGGTCGCTATCCGCACCCTCCCATGGCTCGCAGGCCATACGTGCTTCGAGGACGCCATGGCCAGCATGTGCACGAGGTGGAGAACGGTGAAGACTACGATGACCACGACGGCGACCTGGAGGAGGCGCAGCACGACGAAGATGAAGCAGATGACCAGGACGATGGAGACCCCGGAGCTGGCGAGGGGATCATCTTCGAGGACGGCGCCGAGGTCGAAGAGGAGCTGGCGTCGGACAACGACGGGCCTGATGACGAGGAGTACGAGGCGACGGAGGATCTCCAAGAGGCGTTCTTGGCCAGTTGGAGGGCCAAGCAGAAGACGGCAGCACAGCGTCAGAAGCGCGGATTCGTTGCCCCTCGGCAGCGGGACCCCAAGAAGATCAACGTCAGCGGCTCCTTCCAGGCTGGTCGCAAGCCGACGGACCAGCGCAAGGCTAACAGCCGGTGTGCTGACTGCGATCAGCCCAGCCACTGGCGCGGCGACCCGGAGTGCCCCAAGGTGAAGAGTGGCGAGCGCGAGCCGCACAACAAGACCGGGCCTAAGAGTGGCCAGCCAGCGTCGCCCAACCAGCGGAGCTCTGCGGAGCCGCCGGCTCCAAGGCAGGCGCATGGACCGGTCATCCACTGGGTTGGCATGGCAGGCAGTGCCGAGGAGCGTCGTGGCCGCGCCCCATGGCGCCGCGCTCCCCAGTCGGTGCCTGCCCAGAGGCATCTGGTGGAGGGCCGAGCCGATGCTCCAGGGCGGATCGTCATGAATCCTCGACCCAAGAGCATGCCTGCGCCAAGTCTACGCCGGGATGCCGACGATGGCCCCGGGCCCGCACAGGGCAGTGACGAACGCGCGCGCGCCCTTGCCAGGCGCGGGGAGGATCAGGAGGACGAGGATGCATGCGTGCGTTGCCATCGCATTCTGGCCAACCCCCAACCCAAAGGGGCACAGCGTGGAGTTGGAGTTTCCTGACCTTGCCACGGTCCATCACATCGTGGAGCGTGTGACGAACAAGAAGCCCATCTTCTTCAAGCAAGGCCGCTTCGAGGCTCTCGACTTCGTCCAGGGTCGGCCCATGCGGCTGCAGCTGACCACGTCGAAGCCTTGCACGGCGGCTGAGGTGGATCTCGACGAGATCACGGCAACTATGTTCAAGATCGTGATGGGCGGAAATCGCGATACCAAGCACCGCGACGATCGGCGCGGCGAAGGCGGGATTCGTGACACCAAGCATCGTGAAGATCATCATCGAGATCGTCGTGACGACCGCCACCGCGATCGGGGAGCTGTTCTCCGTGAGCATCGCGCCCCTCCTCCGCCCGAGGCGGGGGCCTCATCGCGTTCGAGGTCGCGGAGTGCACCGGATGGCCGCGGTGAGAAGGAAGAGAAGCGGAGCACACCGGAAGGCCGCGGTGAGAAGGAAGAGAAGGAAGAGAGGAAAGAGAAGAAGAAGAAGGCGAGGAGCAGTAAAGAAGAGAAGATAGAGAGGAAGAGGGCAAGAAGCAGCAGGGAAGTGAAGAAGGAGGCCGAGGTGAAGAAGGAGGACGAGGCCAGCGAGGAGGATGAGGCCAGCGAGGACGATAACGATCAGCGGCGCGAGGATAAGGAGCTGCCGTTCACGCCGGAGGAGATGGATGAGATCTTCTGCAGCTGGTATCCGCGTCAGGACATCTTTAGGGATTACCTGACGCCGCCGGCAACCATCCACTTCATCGCGAAGAACGACCGCATCGCGCGCCTCAACCTCTACACGCGCCGCTGCGAGAAGCCGGACTTCTCTCCAGCCAGTGGCCCTGCGAGGGCCTATCCTGCATTCGTGGTGGATGCCGCAGCGGCGGCGTCGGCGAAAGGGGCATCGAAGACTAAAGGATCGAACGTTCCGGGAGAACCTCCAGGGAACACCCCAGACGGAGCTGCGCCAGGACTAACGTCTGCCGCTCCGACCGGGGAGGCTGCCGCCGCCCCTAAGGACGAGGACTGGGTCATGGCAGGAGCCTCCGAGGACGTGAGGAAGAGCGTGGAGAAGAAACGACTGGAGGTCTCGCAGCGTGACAAAGCTGAGTTGCTGGACCGCCTCGCGCTGATAGAGAAGCAGGAGTCGGAGATGCATGCCCGATTAAACCCAGGCGAGGTCTACGATGGCCTGCAGAAGCGACGTGAGCAGGCACCTCTGCCAGAGCGTGCACTGCCTACATCTCCTGAGCAGCAGGGGGTCGGAAGCGTGTGGAAGAACATGGAGGGAGTTCGACGACGTGCTCATCTTCCAGCGCCTCCAGGAGCCGCGAGCTCAGGCGCGCCTGCCGCTGCGACGGCATCCCCAGCCGCATCTGGAGCCCCGCGCGTAGTCACTACCTCTGGACGGAGCTACGTCATGAGTGCCGGTGCCACGCAGAGCGACCTGGAGAAGCAGCAGA